AACTGGATCCTCCCCCTCCCTCTCCCTCTCTAGTATCCTCTCAAGCCAGTCAGAGATGTCTCGCACCTGGCACCAGGCAGGCAAACACCATGCTGAATTGTCTATCCCCCTGATGATGGAATCCCCTACAACTACAATCTGTCTTTTTTGCTCCCCCCTCTTGAATGGCCTCCTGGACCATGGTGTATTGGTCAGTTGACTCATCCTTCCTGCAGCCCTGTTCCTCATCCACGCAGGGAGCAAGTGCCTCATACCTGTGGGACAATGTCAAGGGCTGCAGCTCCTGTGTTCCTGTCTGCAGGGTCCCTCTGCCTGCCTCACTTGCAGTCACACACTGCTGTCCCTGCCTGCCGACCAGGTGTGACTGCCTCCTGGAACACAGCATCCAGGTATTTCTCCCCCTCCCGGATGTGCAGCAGTGTTTGGAGTTTGGATTCCAGCTCATCAATTTTGAGCCAGAGCTCCTCAAGCAGCCAACACTTGCTGCAGATGTGATCACTGCCGTTCTCAATGGGATCAGCTAGCTCCCACGTCATACAGCTACAACACATCACCTGGCCTGCCATCTCTACTTAGTTAATTATTTAAAATTAATTACTTTTTTTTGGTTTTGCAGTGTTTTCTGCACCCGTAAGTTAACTCTGTTATATACTCAAACAGACTCCGCCTTTGCCTTCCGACCCGCTCCCAGAGGATTTGGCGTCTGGGTGACCACCCCGAAAGATAACCGAGATGATGAAGAAAAAAATGCAAATAGCTTACCTGCTCACCACACTTCGTTGTTATTATTAGGTTAGAGGTGGTGGAAGGCTGGGAGACACTACGCGTGTCGTGTCTCGGGTATTAGTTAACTCCCAAATTTATTGGGTAGAAGCTTTTCTTCCCAGGCTGCCCTCGTGCTTTCTCCCGGACTCCTGCCGCTGAAACAACTGAAAACATCTCAAAGCACTGTTCATCCAATAAAGTTTTTTTTTGTGAAAAACAATGACAACTAGTGTTTTACAAGCTCCCACGTAATGCACTTTTTTCATTTGTTCCTGGTACATGGACATCATTGGCAAAGTCAGCATTGATACCCATCCCTAAGTAACCTTGAAAAAGTGGTGCAGTTTAGTTCAGTTGACTGGACATTGGCTGTAATGCAGAATGATGCCAATAGCATAGGTTCAATTCCTGCACCAGCTGGGGTTACTATGAAGGCCTCTTCCCACCTCCCTCCCTCTCATGTTTTCCCTTTCGTGTTTCTCTATTTTTCTCTTGCATTTTCCTGCAAGCGGTGTGTTGCAACAACTTACAGTTCCATTCCCCCACACTACTTTGTTGAAGAAACTATTTTACACTTCAGATTCTTGACAAGGAACTTTGCAGGCTATTTTCATGCATGAGGGTGAGGTGGTAAGAAATCAGATTTCCACTGAAAACAGATGGACAGTCAACACAGCAATTACTCCATGCAACAGTGTAACGTCCTGGCTAACTTCAGTATTAGGTTTTATCTGAAATGAGCCAGCGAGCTGTGGTTGACAGACATTCCACAGAGCATGATGTTCTGATGTATTCACTTTAACTCTGCTGCAAAATCACAGGGTCGTCTTTTGGGATGATGGGATGCAAAGCCATGGGGACTGACTACCAGGTGTCTGAAGTCCTGCTCTTTGGATTCCACAAGAATATAATTCTTCAAGGGCTGATAGTTAAGCTGATCAAGACCAGGTACAAGGCCTGAGTGCACGGTGTTACCTCCACCCTTTTTCACAATATATCATCAGGGTCATACAAGCGCAAGATCACAATTCACATAGTAAAGGCTCCTTTTTAGGGAACAGGCTGGTCATACATTTCTAGCCCCCCACTTAAAGACAGCATCAGGATTTGCTTAAGATAATCAACATGCCCTCAACCCCAAATTAATTTTCAATTCTAGATTGGCCAAATTTTTCCACATACTTTTCAAGTAGAGACTTTTTTTTAAGAAAATAAAATCACTTATTCCAAAAGATGTAGATTTTGATATTAACAGCAAGATTATCTTGTCTATAAATTTTAACTAAATAATTTTGCAAGAAAATAGCAACACAATGTACTCACATACAACATATTATTTTATCAATCTAACTGTTAGCATGGTTTGAAGCATATTTTCCTGAAATCTCTGTAATACTTATGTGTTCAAAACTTTATTTTATCTTCCCTTTTCTCTACTACATATACTTCCAGCACATAGCAATCAAATCTTCTCATGCCCAAAAACAGCAAAAGCTATATAATAGTCTCTAATACTGATATATTTCAGCTGTTCCAATGCACCCCTTTTTTTTGTTCACAGATTTTCCATTCCCTCCCTCCAAAAACCCATCTTCAATAAAAGAGGCAAGCTGCACAACCAGTTCACATTTTTGTTCTCCATTTTATGTTAAATATCTCAATTACATTATAACACACAGAATAAATTTCAGGTTTTAGCAGACAGATATTCTCCCGTAGGTTCACAGGTCCTGTTTGTGATGGAAAGCCCATCAGTCAATGTTTTCTAATCCCTGTTAGAAGAAAAAAAAAAGTGTTAAATAGGATACAAGTTTTCCATAATTACACCGAAATATTATTTTAAATCTTCATCAACTTGGCATTTTTATTTTTAAAAAAAATTGTCGAATTTTTTTTAAAAACAATGAAAGAACAGTTGCTTTTCCAGCAAATTGTTTTTGTTCCCAAAAGAACATCCAACGATGGTTAGCATAAGGAAGTTCAGCATTTATGTTCAAGAATTCACCTTTGATTCGTAGTACGTTTTGGAACTAGATACTCTCCTGTCTCGATCCATTAGGGTCCAATGATACGGTAAGCGAGCAGTCCTCTTTTCCTAAGCATAAAGAATACATTAAGAGTATTTCTTTTTGCTTGTAAATCAAGTAGAAGTAGTAATTCAATATTTTAACTGTTTATTCTTGGTACTTATAAGGTACTTAAGCATAATGTTTAAATCAATGACAAGCCTGAATAAATACCTCTATTCTTATTGCCAAGACCTGTACTACTACAGAAGTTCTCAAATGGATTTTGACACTGATTCCAACTGGGTGAATTTCAGCTACATCTGTTATATAATCCTTAACTTGTAAGACAAACAAATAAAATATTTCATTAAAGGAATCTCTTAACAATCAGAATTTTAAAAGGCTAAAGACCCAGGATGTGCTATATTTGTAAACAGATTTCTGTTTGATACTTCAAATAAATTCACAGCAGACATTAGATTACAAAATGTAAAGGAAAATCTGAAGTTTATATTCTATTCCAGCCTGGAATTACAAATAAATAACTTACATGTGTATAGCTCCTTTAATGTAGCAAACTGCTACAAGCTTCTCACACAAGCACCTTAGATACGGGTCCCAATACTGCTCACAATATTCCAGAGCCTTATACAGCTTCAGCAGTACATCTCTGTTCCTGTATTCTAGCCCTCTTAAAATGAATGCAAACATTGCATTTCCCTTCCTAACTGAATCTGCATGTTAACTTTAAAAGAATCCTAAATTAGGACTCTCAAGTCCCTTTGTGCTTCAGATTTCTGAAGTCTTTCCTCGCACAGAAGATAGTTTACACCTTTATTCTTCCTACCAAAGTGCATAATGTCAGACTTTCCCCGCTTTGTATTCCATCTGCCACTTCCTTGCCCACTCCTGTCCAAGGCCTTCTGCAGCCTCCCTGCTTCCTACTGGTCTCTGTTGAGGAAACAGGGAGGCTTCATATTTGGGTGCATGACAAGGACACTCCCTAATATGGTCAGGTGAGCCTAAGCATTGGTTCCTAGATGTTGACCTTGACATGCATCCAATTTTTATCCACTCCTTGAAAAGGTTGGACCAATATATATATATTTTTTTTTTTAAAAAAGAAGTGTACAATCAAATTAAGTCTATGGTACCTTAAGATTTTTGCACAACTACTCAAAGAGGGCTGCTTATGTGCAGAAACCTCTTGGTTGCATTGCGGCCCCAAACTTTGAAGGAGGACTTACTACAACACAAGGATGCACCGAAACACACTTCATAAAAAGCATACCAAATTGCAAGACATCACCGAAATAACAAACTTCAAGTGGCCGTGGATCCAAGTTAGCTGGGTATTCTTCTGTGGACAGGTTTAAAACTGTTCTTAGCTTTAGCATTCTTCCATTCTTTCCTCCTTTGCAGCTGCCAGTTCTCCCCTCATTCCACATTGCATTGACTTGCTTTTCACCACTGTCAACCCTCAAGCCAGCACATCAGCTACTCCTCCCAGACTCACAAAGCAAACTGGCTATTTTCCCCCAAACCCACAGCCAAATTGCCCTTACATGCCAGCTACATCAGCCTTATTCAGCATCACTGCTCATCTTAATGCTCTTCCTCCAATCAAAGGCTTTTTGCCATGAGTGGCTGCTGCTGTTTGGGAGAAATGCCCTTTGATTGAAGGTGCAGCTCTTTTCAAAATTTCTCATCTGCACATTTTGGGGAGGGGAGTAATCACATGATTCATTGTGGGATTTGGCAGCTTCTGGGGGCAAATGCCCTCTCCTCAACGTATTTTGAGCAATGCCTTCAAATTACATTTACAGTTAGATATAACTGTGTCCCTAACCTTCTTTTTATAACACTGTAAAGCTTTAGATGTTTCTCATCCCACAGGAGTCTAGGAGGAGCTAAAACCAAATTTCAAACATTCATTCGAGATATATGTCAGGGATGTTGTCAAGGCCAGCATCTTGTGGCTATCCTTAAATGCCCTTGACAGTATGGTGTTGAGCCACTTTAATCAAATGTACACTGACCAAGGAGACTCGGAGAACTGATGCAGAGCAGCTTGTAGATGGTAGGCATTGCAGCAACTGAATAATAGTACTGAAGGCAATGTTTGTGGTGTGGTTCCAATCAAGTGTGCCGCTTTGTCCTGGATTGTATTGAACTTCTTGCGTTTTGTTGGAGTTGCACTTATCCAGACAAGCAGGGCTTATTTCATCACAGATAACAAGGTGTAGAGCTGGATGAATACAGCAGGCCAGGCAGCATCAGAGGAGCAGGAAAGCTGACATTTCGGGTCTGGGCCCTTCTTCAGAAATCTGGCAATTTCACCACCCTCCTGGCTTCTATCTTATAGATGATCCTCTTCAACTGATGCCCATAGAGAGGCATTTCTAACAGAGGTTACTGATACACAGCAGAAACAGGACTCCTGACTTATTCAACACAGGTACTGAGACAATTGTGCTGGTTATTTTGGAGAAATAACAGTGGTGAGGGAGTGCTGCACTGTCTGCAGTGTCAACTTTAAGGTGAGTCAGAAAAGCAAGAAAGGTTTTTTCCCCTCAGCTAGACAGGATACAGACTGGAAAAATAGGAAGGAGTGGGGTCTCCCAAGGGCTCCCTCATTAACACTCCTTCAAAAGAATCCCCGACACTTTAAAAGAGCTACACCAATTCAAATTGATGTTGGTCAACCAACCCCATGACATAAAAGTACGCATGTGGGAGAGAAAAGAGATAAGACGGTAAGAAATAGGGCTAGGAGTAGGCCATCTGGCCCCTCCAGTCAGTCTTCCAGTGCAAAGAGTTGACCTCAACTGAGTGTTGCAGACTGGCACATTCCAAGGTCCAGGACTACGTGGTGAGGGGTGCACTAAAGCTGGGGGCAGCTACTGCTGCCAAGGCACAACTGGAAAAGATCACTGTCTAAGGTCTTTTTGCCAAAGTACATGGAGTCCATTCAGTTATCCATTTCTCACTTTTCTGTCTCACCTTAAAGTTGACACTGCAAACAGTGCAGCACTCTCTCACCACTGTTATCCCTCAAAAGTAACTAGCAACAACTGCCTCAGTACCTGTGGTGAATAAGTCAGGAGTCCTGTTTCTGCTATGTATCTCAGGTGACCTCTGTTAGAAATGCCTCTAGTACCCCAATGCATATAAATATAACCCTCCTTAAGTAAGAAATGTCTTGTTTTATTTTTGCAAATGCAGAGAATGCCAAATTTAAATATTTGTTTGTTATTCACGTGCAAAGCCAGTACAGAAACGCTTACAGTAACTGCTCCTGTTCCTCTGGTGCTGCCTGGCCTGCTATGTTCCTCCAGCTCCACACTGTGTTATCAGTAACTATGTATACTTTTTTTTATGAATAAAGTACATTCATGGCTGATCAGACATTCCTAACGTGCAATTTCCTACACGTTCCCATCACCTTTCAAGATCGAGAATCTACCTCAGCCTGAAGGACTCAGCCCCCACAGGCACCCAGTTCCAAAGGCTCACAGGCCCTGAGGGAAAGGGCCAGCCGACAACTGCTTACCTTACCGCCGTTCGTCCACCTGTGAACGTAGATGGTAGCGAGCCCAGGCACCGTCAGGCAACCGGCCATGACGACAAGCCCAGGCAGGATCTCATACCACATCGCAGCTCCCTCACCGCGACCTTCACCGAGATTCACCGAGCATGCGCAAACGAACTCACTAGGACTTCGTTTCCCCACCGCCTCCTCTCGCGATAACTGCCTCCCTCGGGAGGGCGGGGAATCGTGCCCAGCAAACCCCGCGGCGATTGGTCCGTGGTGACCACGCCTCAAAACAGTTACCCCTCCGGCGCGGACCAATCAGAAGAGGGGGCGGGCCTTGAGTGACGTAACAGGGAGCAAAAGGCCAGCGGGCTCAGCCGGAGTGGGCTCTGCTAGCGGGGGAGGCCTGTTTATCTTCGAAGCTGCAGCTTGTCTCCTTAAGGCATGAAGGAAGATAAGGAGAATACCAAACCCAGGGAGAAGAAAGTGGAGGTCAAATATGAGGAAAGGGCCGAGAAACCCGAAAAGAAGGAGAAAAAAGAGGTCTTGACCAAGGTTTGTGAAGCAACAGGCCTCAGCCAGGATCCAGTCCAGGAGGCAATGTCTCCACTTAAATAAGACAAAGAACTGCAGACCTCATCTGAGGGAGGATCACTGGATTCGAAAGATTAACTCTGTTTCTCTCTCCACAGATGCTGCCAGACCTGCTGAGTTTCTCCAGAAATTTCTGGTTTTTGTCTCCGCCTAAATGGCTTCCTTCGTAATCCGTGTTCACCATCATGCCTTAAACCTCACTACTTGAGGTTCTGAGGAAGGGTCACCGGACTCTGTTTTCTCCTCCACGTATGCTGCCAGACCTGCTGAGCTTTTCCAGCAACTTTGTTTTTGTTCCTGATTTACAGCATCCGCAGTTCTTCTGGTTTTTACCTCACTGCTTGAAGCTGTCAGTGTGAATGTGCAAAGCTCCAAGGCAGTTAGGCTATTTTCTGGATAAAAACCGAAAGAACTGCGGATGCTGTAAATCAGGAACAAGAACAGAAGTTGCTGGAAAAGCTCAGCAGGCCTGGCAGCATCTATGAAGAAAAAAATCAGAGTTAACGTTTCGGGTCCGGTGATCCTTCCTCAGAACTACGCTACCCTAGGCTACTTTCCGGTTTCCCCTCACGATCCGTTTTCCAGTGTACGTAATTTTAATGAATGATTATTCTACTGTTTTCTGTGAGAAGCACACTTACTTGTGATAACCACACTAATCTCGGAGAATTGCATATTGTACGAAAATGAATTTGTGGCTGAGTCATTCCTGGATCTTGTGCTGCCTCTCAATTACTGGTCAGCTCTCCAACTGCTTCAGATTTGTCTTAAAACAGAAAATGCTGTAAGTACTCAAGAGGTCAAGCTGCATCTGTGGAGAAAAACAGGTTTAACATTTTAGGTCAATGACTCCACATTGTATCTGCTTTCCAGTGTTTGTGATGTTTTTCTATTAGAATTGTTTGTCAGTTTTACTAATGGTTTTTGCTGCTTAAACTGAGGTTTTTTATTTGAAGATATTTGCAATGTTTAAATGATCCTGATGCTAAGGTAGCTTCTTTATTCATGTTTCTTCAATAATACTTTATTGATTGTGCTCTCATGACAGCAGGGTCATCGCATTTGTTGCCAAACTGTAGTAATGGGATTGTTTGCTCTTGTTTTTGTAATTTGGATGTTCATAGCTTAAGTAGCTCACTAGGTACCTAATCTGTGTGATCTGTTTCTCAATTTAAATTGCTTTGACATTGACATTTTTGTTTTTGGTAAAGAAGTAGCTGATAGATATTGAACTGCCTTTATCCATTAGGTGGTGATCCGTCGTTTGCCTCCAAGTCTGACAAAAGAGCAATTAGAAGAGCAACTTGCCCCTTTGCCTGAGCATGATTATTTTGAATTTTTCTCTACCAATTCAAGGTAAGTGGTTACTATGACAGAATTCTATCAAATTTCTTTTAAATCACAAGGTCCACATTATCAAGGTGCCTTAAAAGTCAGAGGAGCTGCTATCTATTTTCTTTTTAACTCTTATTTATGAGGAGGGCCTAAACCTCCTCTGATATTAATCAGATATAGATGTTGCAGTGATATATTCATGGTCATGTCAGCTAATGAAATCTTAGAACTGAGAAATGCTAGTTCAATTTGTGCGTATATAGCGAAACAATTTTCAAGTCACATAGATTGTAAGTCTGACGGACCATGGAATAGTTTTGGATATGCAATCAATAAAGCTGTCAACTTAACTTTAAAGTCAGATCCCAGTTGTCTGTGGCATGTGAAAAGCTTTCAGGTTGCTGTCATCTACGACCTATATTTCGTACCGTGCGTATAGTTAGTTGGGCTTTGCAGTGCACTATATTATGGCCATGTAATAAATTGCTGCCTCACCAAATCTAACACTTAATGTGGTCCTGAGGGATGTGGATGAGCACAAGCGTAGTTCTCTTCTGGCAGACTGTCTACAGTTTTCACACCAGCTGCACTTGGGCAATAAAACAAAAGCAAACTATTGCGTTGCTGGCAGTCTGAAACAAAAAAAGAAATTGCTGGAAATACTTAGACCTAGTAGCACCAGAGAGAAACAGATTAACGTTTCAGGTCAAGGAATTTCTTCAGAACTGAAGTTTCTCTGTCCAAAGATACTGCAGTGTTTTCTATTTCATTTCAGTATAGATGCTGTTGTGTGCACTTCCCTCTATGGCTACTGGTCTCAGAACCATACAGCAATGTTACAGCAATTGTAAATAAACAAAAATATGCATAATATCTGATTAAATTGATTAGTGTAGCACAGTGCTTAGATTCAATAATGTCTCAAGTCAGTCACTGAACCTATTTCTAACTGAGCATAACTATTGTTTGACTCATGCTGCAGGTAGCACTTCTGCATTGTTTGCTTGCATTAGTACTCTGATATTAAGTGTAAAGCCTTGACCACAAACAGCTTGATTTTTGGGCAGCGATTTCAGGGCATATAATCTTTATTAAATTAGAGAATGCAGTCAAGTGGATTTTTTTGTAAATCCTTCATGAGTCATTTTGTTTGATCTTTTGGGGAAGTTCCATCTGGCGTTTTGCTTTTGTTTATTTGTTTTAAACTACTGCACCAACAGTAATTTCAAAAATACATTTAACACAAAAGGTTGAAATGTAAAAGTTACTATTTTTTTTTAGTTTTTGTCTGGTATCCGGGGACTGGTTCAATTTCTGAACAAAATAAACGTGTAGCTAACAGAAGGGGGCAGGACCAAGTTGAAGAAAGATGTAGAAATTCCAAGGACAAAGTTGGAGTCAACAGAACATTAAGTAATGAGGGTGAGGACAAGTAAAATGAGACAGGAAGAAGCACAGAGTTTACAATAGTAATTGTACGTCAGCGAGTAAGTTCCATGCAAGGAATCCACAATAGCACAAGCTAAACAGAGACATGCCAGGGAATTCCTGGAGGCCTGGCATTCCAATCGGAACTCTGTCAACAAACACATTGAACTGGACCAGATATACAAACCACTGAAAAATGGAATCGGAAGTGATGCCAACCACCCCAGCAAACCGAGGCATACGAATAACAAGCGGGATGGAACACCAATGCTTCACCAGAGGTGCGCTACAATGTTACCTAGCAGGGTGACAAGACGTCTGCAATCAAACACACCGACTTGGTGAGCAGGTCTACAACCTCATCCACAACCTGAGCTACAAATTTTCTCAAAAACTTTGAATTCCATGTTAAAATTGAAATGACATACTTCAGTCTCAAACAAGAATCTTAATCTTAAACAAAGCAATTTACATGGATTTGAGAAGAGAGCTGGGTAAGGTTGACTGGGTCAATAAACAATAAGATATAGTGATATATAAATAGTGGGCACCAAAGAAACAATTCAAAATATTAAACAAAAATACATTCAGTTGAAAAACTCAGCAATAAAAATGATCCAAATTATTGAGGAAGTTAAGGATAGTATTAGAGTTTGTTTGTTTTTTTTTTTGGAAAGAGGTTTATAAAGCTGCTAAATGTAGCAGGAGGTTAAACCAGCAGAAGCCTATGTTGAAAACCATACCAACAAAACATTGATCAAACAGGGAAGAAAATGAAATGACAGCCAATTAGCCAGGCATATAAAACTGAGAGTAAAAGCTTTGATGTGTATAGTTTAAAAAAAAACAGTAACCAAGTAGACATTAGTTCCTTAGAAGCAGAGATGGGAGAAATTATTATGGGGAGTGAGGAAATGGCAGAAACATTAAACAGATATTTTGTCTATTTTCACGAGGTCACAAGACCTATGCAGCACTTGTACCGTCTATTTCCAGCAATGAGTGAGGGAATTAAAATCCGCAGATAAAGTATTGGTGAATTTGGGAGACTAAAATCTGATAAATCCCCAAGATCTATCATGATGAGAGAGGTCATCATAATGAGAGAGCTGCAGAGATGGTAGATGCATTGGCTATGATTTTACAAAAATTCTGGAACTGTCTCAGCAAATTGGAAATTAGCAAATGTGACACTGCTATTCAAGAAAGGAGCAAGAGAGAAAGCCGGAAACTACAGGGCAATTAGCCTAATATTGGTCATCAGGGTAGTGCTGGATACTATTAGAAAGTAAGTTTTAACAATGCATTTTGAAAATCATAGTATGATCAAAGTCAACGTAGCCTTACAAAAGGGAAATCGTGTTTGATAAATTTATTAAAGTTTTCTGTGGGTAAAATAGACAAGTTATTTGGTCTCCTTTTTTTTTTGAAGGATTGGTTTGCATCGGAGAGAACACAGTGAAGATTCACTGGATTTGTCCCTGGGATGAGAGGGTTAAATTGTGATAAGCTACGTAAGGAGGCCAATAGTCTCTGGGGTTTAGGAGAATGAAGTGTTATCACATTGAAACAAAGAAGATTCTGAGGGAGTTTGACAAGGTGAACACTAATAGATTTGTTTCTGTTGATCAGGGAACCAGAACAAGAAGCGTTTTGCAATAAGGAGTCAATTGTGTATGACTCGGATGAGGAGAAATGAATTCACCAAAAAATTGTGAATCTCTTTAGAAGTATTATCCCAGAGGATTGTGGATGTTTCTTCATTAACTAATGTCTAATGCTTGTTCAGACTGACTTATGGCCTTTCAGGAAATCGAAGGAAATGACCAGGGATGTGGAGTTGAAGCCAAAGAGATCAGTTGTATGCTGCTTGGCCTGCTGTGTTCATCCAGCTCTACACCTTGTTATCTCAGTTGTAATTGTACTGACTAGTGGAGCAAACACATTGGGATATGTGACTTACTCCTGCTCCTATCTTTTGTGTAAAATGTGATCAGAACCTAATGAGAGAAATTTTGTGATTGTATATGTTGCTGCAAATTTTATGCGCTGTTCCCACAATAATGTCTCATATTTACATTTTCAATTTAATTCAAGCCTAAAATCTAAATTATTTTTCCATAGTTTGTTTCCACACATCTTTTCAAGAGCGTACATCAACTTTAAAAATCAAGATGACATTGTCCTCTTCAGGGATCAATTTGATGGCTATGTTTTCATTGATAGCAAAGGTATGACAGTTTTAACTCTGCATATTAGTGAATATACAATATGTCTTGTTTTCTACATTTTGACATCTGGTAAATCCTTTGCCTTCAAAAATGCATTGTAAGGAATCCTGTGTATTTGGCTATTCTAAGTATTGCCTTTCATATTAATAAAAGATCACTTTTAACAATACTGGTGTAATGGAAGTGTGGTAAAAAGCTAAATTAAAGATTATTCACAGAAACTTCACATTTGGCTCAGAAACATCATTTGATTTTCTCATTACTAAAAGAACTTGTCTTGTATAAATCAAATAAAACAGACAGAGAGAAAATAATGCTGAGATTTTCTCTTTAGTGTAATCTATTAATGAGTACTGCTATGATCAGACTTAATGTGCTTTTAAGGCATGCTGTTACAATGGAGGGTTTCTTTTTGCTTTCGAGAATCCTCATCTTTTATTTCAAAAAAGCTTTATTTCAGTTGTGAATAACATTTTAAGGAAATATCAAAAACTGTTTTTCCATTATATATGCTGATCAACTTTAAAAGTTGTTTTTACTTTACTTTCATTAGTAAATGTGAAACGCAGAGAATGGAGTTACAACCAAATAAACACCTATCCTGACAGACTCACAGTTGATTTAATGTTTAGAAGGATTCCCTAAAGTGATTCTTAACACCACAAAGGATTTTTTTTTTTCTGTTTGCAGTCTGTAAGTACACATAGCATATTTGAAAGGAACTTCAGTGAGCATTATTTCATTCTATTAAAACAGTACCAAGCAGGTACACAAGTTTTTCCATATACATCTGTTTACCAGTTAAAATGACTGCACCACTCACAGGGATCAAAATATATATTTTTACAGGCTACTTTTTTTGGTTTGTTGGGGCTATTTCTTCATCCTCACTACTTAATTTACAAGAGGACATGGTCGTGTAGTTTGCTTTGGACCTGGTAGCTTTGGTCACCACCACCTCGCTGAATAGTGAGCGTAGCAGCACAGGAGACAACCGGCCTCTGCTTGGCAAACAACTTCTTGCAGATTCTGACCGTCCTAAGAATGGGGATGACTTCTTTCTGGTCATTCCTGTGATTATGATTGAATTTTCCCACGTTATTTCTAGGCATATAAAGATGGATCCACGCAGCATCTCGCAGTATTTTGAACATCGACAGATCCATTAAGCAGGCTAAATGGAAAGCATTAACATGTTTAGTTGTTTGTTATGGACCTAAGACAACAATAGACGTTTCTTAGCAAATTATGTTACTTCATTCTTAATAATTAAAAACCGCTTGTATTTGTTTCTGCATTCTTCTCATCCTTACACCCAATAGGGCAGGAGTACCCTGCTATTGTAGAATTTGCACCTTTTCAGAAAATTCCAAAAAAGAAGAGCAAGAAGAAAGATGCAAAAGTGGGCACTGTTGAAGATGGTATGGATCCTTTACATTTTAGTGATGGTATGGAGTTTCTTTTTTATTAAACAACGTAAACGTTTGTTGTGCACTGTTCTGTTGTATTCCATTTTGTTTCTGCTTTCATTTTCATCTAGACGGGTAGGATGTGAACTGTTCTTCTAGTTCTCACAGGAGAAGCCAGTTGCTGGAATTCTGGTCTCAATATCATTACTGCACTGCACCATTAATGTTACTATGCTGAAAGTTGTTAAAGCTTATTGTTTACTACATTGTACCAGTTACTCGGTGGATGCAGTGGGCATATTTTTGAAATTTTCAACATTTTCTTTCAATATGCTGTGGCTCAGTGACAGTTCTCCTCTGAAAGGCATGAGCTTATGGTGAGAATTGCAAAACTATTCACCTGTGATGGGGAGATGTTAGAAGTTGCAGCAAACTTGTCCTTTTTCCAGGCAAAAGAAAAATTGCTGCAGTCTTACCAGACCATAGTGCTCCTCTCTTATTAGAGAACTGGTGGTGTTAACCTCAGGATCACCATGCATCAGGCGAAGAGGGAAAAGTGCTTCTAGTAGTTTTGAGTAGTTTTGCTGCATAAATCTATCCAAGTAAATAAACCTGATATATTTGAATGTGATTTTATTATAATCCTCTCTTTTAAGAACATTTATTTTGGTTTGTTTTAAAGTGTAATAATAGCAATTAAATGAATGTCGAGGTTGAATGGTGCAGCCTCTTGTGAGATCCTTTGGGATGCAAGTTCGATCACTGTTGTTCAATCTTACAGCTTTGGATGGGTGTAGAAGGGACATGACTTGCTATTCCATGGAAATATGAAATTGGAGTAGAGTTTCTGAACCACATGTCTGTTCTATTGTCAGAGCAATAGAGGTTTATGCCACAAGTTTCTGGAAAAGAAAATGCAAGGGTTATGTTTCTTTCTTTACCCCCAGGAAAGCAACAGAGTAACTGTGAATTTTCTTTGAATCTTGGTTATGTTTATTTTAGAATAGGTCAATTTTTTTTTTTAACTGTCTTTGTGTTTTTTATTAGATCCTGAATACAAAAAGTTTTTGGAGAGTTATAATAATGCAGATGATGAAAAAAATTCAAACAATCCTGAAACACTTCTGGAGGAAATTGAAGCTAAAACTAAAGAGTTAGCAGGTAAGTTGATCTGTTTTAACAAGTTGAATTGCTTTCTGAGTTAACATCTATTTTTGTTACAGGCAAAAATGAAAATTGCAGAATTTGATCTAGTAAATTGAGTTTATTTACTAATTGTATGGTCTTTAATCTTAATGTATCAGCCATTTACTGTAGTCCTATTTAGCTGCATTTGGTGAATAACCGACTATGCCCTGACATTTTAAGTACTCATTCAGATGCTTCTTAGATGTTGTGAGAATATCTGACTTCACCACCCTCTAGGGCAACGTACATTCTATATAATCTACCACCCTCTGGGTGAAAAAAATTCTTTCTCCTATCTTCTCTAAACTACTTGCACCTCACTTTAAACATAAGCCCTCTTTTAGACACAGCTGCCATGGGGAAGAGGTTCTTGCAGTCTGCTTTGTCTATTCCTCTCATAATTTTGTATACCGCGATCAGATATCTCCTCAGCCTTTTCTGCTCCAAGGAAAACAATCCCGCCTATCCAGTCTCACCTCATAACTGAAATTTTTGATCCCAGGCAATATCTTGGATAATCTTCTCCCCGACCTCTCCAATGCAGTCATGACCTTCCTACAGTGTGGTAACCTGAACTGCACACAGTTCTCCATCTGTGGCCTAACCAGTATTTTGTCGGAGGTGGTTATTGCCTGGCACTTGTAAATGTTACTTGTGACTTGTCATCCCAAGCCTGGATGTTGTCCAGGTCTTGCTACATGCGGACATGGGCTGCTTCAGTGTCTGAGGAGTCACAAATTGTGAATAATCGGTGAACATTCCAATTTCTGACCTTCTGATGGAGGCAAGGTCATTTGAAGCAGCTGAAACTGACAGGGCTTAGGATGATACCCTAAGGAGCACCTGCAGAGATGTCCTGGGGATAAGATAATTGACCTCCAACAACTACAGTCATTTTTTTTTTATGCAAGGTAGAAACTAGTCAGTGGAAAATCCAGCCTGTCTCACCACCTCCCCGCTGCACTGCCCCATTACCACTGTTTTTATTAGGGCTCCATTTAGTCAAATATAGCCTTGACATTACGAGTAGTTGCTCACACATTTTGCCTCTGAAATTCAGCTTTTGTCCACATTTGGAGTAAATGATGAGGTTAGAAGTTGAGTGGCCCTGGAAAAACCCCAGCTGAGTATCCGTGATTACACTGCCTATCAAATATCATGAGCTGGCACTGTTGGCAACCCCTTGCATGATTTTGTTGATGAGTAGTAATAATTGGCTGACTTGTGTTTGTAGTATTTTTTTTGTTGGCAAGATATACCTGGGCAATTTTTTCCATATTGTCAAACAAAATAAATCAAATTGGCTGAAGACTGATGTGTATGATGCTGGGAGCCTCCGGAATGATGTCAAAATGGATCTACCACTCTGCACTTCTGCTGAAGATAGGTAGTTGGAAATACATCAGTCTTGTCTTCGGCATTGGTGTACTGAGCTCCCCCGTCATAGATTTTTGCAGCCTCCTCCTATTGTCATTTAATTGCCTGCTGCCATTCATGACTGGATGTGGCAATGCCACAGAGGTTGGGTCTGCTCTGTTGGCTGTAGGAATACCTCGCCCTGTCAAATGCATGTTGCTGCTGTTGTCTGGTACACAAGTAATCCTATGTAGCTTCACCAGGCTGATAACTCATTTTCTAGATATGCCTTGTGCTGCTTCTGGTATGCCCTCCTAAACTTTTTCATTAAACCAAGTGTGATCTCCTGACTTTATGGTAATGATAAACTGGGAGAATATGTAATGCGGTTGAATATTATGGTTGAGTAAGTTCTGGTGCTGATGGCACAGTAACTTATGAATGCCTAGTTTTGAGTTGCTAGATCTGCTCAAAATCTATCCCATTTAGCATGATGGAGGATAGCCTCAATGTGAAGACTGGACTTTGTCTCCACAAGGACTGTGCAGTTTTACTCCTGTCATGGACAGAAATGTGTCATGGACATATTGATGAGGATGTGGTCAAGTAGGGTTTTCCTTCTAGTTGGTTTACTCACTCAGTTGAATAGCTATGTCCTTTAGAACTTGACCAGCTTAATTAGTAGCGGTGCAACCAAGCTATCTCTGTGATGGACATTGGAGTTCATTGCAGTCCATTCTGTGCCCTTACCATCCTTACCTAGCTCATTTTTGCACTAACACTTTCAAATTATGATGTATTGGTCCTGTATTATGAATATAGTTATTTCTGCTATAACACATGTTCTGTTCACACAAATTGGCTGTAAGCGATTGATGAATAGTGAACGCTGTTTGGTTAAAATGACGTTTCTAACTGTATAGTATAGCGATTTCCCTATAACACTAATTTTCTATAGAGCGAGGTCATGCAAGAATGCAACTATCATGTTATAGGAGAACTACCTGTAGTCATTTGTCCCAAATGCTGCATTATTACAACATATACATACAGCACAGAAAAGAGTCATGTGGACCAACCAGTCCGTGCTATTACACAACACTCACTGCTTCCACCCTTTCTCAGTTTCACTTTCAGCTTAACCCTTTATTCTCTTCTCTCTCATAGTTTATAAACTTGCCCTTTTATGCATCTATACTATTTGTCTCTCCCAGTTGTTACACATTCACACCACTCTCTGGGAGAAGAGGTTTCTTCTAAATTCTGCTTTGCATTTGTTTTATATATTTGTTTTCCCAGTTACCAGTTTGTTAAAACTCGGAAGTTTTGCGTGCATGCAAATGGATGAAATAATAGTATTTTTCTATTAACAGCTAAGAAAACCACACCCCTTCTGGACTATGTGAAAAATAAACAGGTAATGGTTTTCTTGTTTTTGACTTTTATTTTATAAAGCTTATATACGGGGAGGCAATTTTGTATATTCAAATTGTCATTAGTTATTTCCTGTTCTTTAAATTACTTTTTCTCCTACACTGTCCCTACACCAGAGAATAAGAGAGGAAAAAAGAGAAGAAAGGAGGAGAAGAGAGTTGGAAAAGAGGCGACTCCGTGAAGAAGAAAAGAGAAAGTGGAGGGAGGATGAAAGACGGAAAAGGAGAGAAGCAGAGAAGCAAAAGAAGATGTTAGAAAAAGGATTTGAAAAAGACAAGGACAGATCAAAGGATGAGCCAAAGATAAAAGTACCCTACGTTATGTTAAATATTCTAGCAAATTACTTTATTTAAAATTACTATATGCCTAACAGCAAACATCATTTTGTATTTGTAGCTTCTGAAGAAGACAGATAAAGGGGATGACTCTAGTTTAGAAAAGCCAAGGGAGAAAGTGAAGAAACTGGAGAGAGAGAGAGCTAAAGAGGACAGACCATTCACTGGACAGGGTAAACGCCTGGAGAGCTCCATCAAGGAAGATAAAGGAAAGAAGTGAGTGAGAATAAATTAAACCACATGTATGGTCTTTGGTCCTATGTGGTTGATGTGTATATTGACCCATGCTCTTGACTTTGATACCGAATTGGTGTTGTGGTTTGCATAGACACTTTAGTTAAGGAGGAACTTGACAACGTTGCAAATTCGAAGGAAGTGTGCATCCTGAATGCTTACTGTCATGAGCCTGGCACTTGAACTAGTTTTTTTTCCTCATAAGAGTTCAGAATTGCTGTGCTGTCATCCCTGGCCAAACTTCTGTTGGTATTTTTCTTTGAGTATACCTTGAGTCATTTCCTAGGTGATCTTTTGACAATGTCTTTTTTTTAAAAGCAATCTCCCAGGTATTAGCTTAGATCAAACCCTCTTTTGTGTCCAGCATCACTTCCCAGAAAGGTGGCAGCATTTGTGAACTGATCATTTGGGATTGGCATGTGTAGCAGGTCTTGTACACGTTTTCTTCCTTCTCTTTTTCCTATGTAAACTGTATTTGATTGTTGGAATTTATGGAAACAGATCTCTATCTTTCCACTCTGCCTGGCTATTATGCTGCATTGCAGAATGGTGTGTGAAATTTTAATCTTGATGGTTCCCCGAACAACCTATGATGAGACTTCTATGTGTGATAGTTGAAGACGGCCAAATGTTTTATTACTATTCCAAACCTTTATCTGGATCTACAAAGTATGATTTCAAGTCGATTTTGAACTGCAAATGAATAAACATGTATACATGTTGCTACCTTTTTGGACACCAGGATGTCCCAAAGCAGTTTACAGGCAATTGGATACTTTTTGAGGTTAAGTTGTAATGTAAGAGGTTAGGTAGTCAATTAGTGCACAGGAAGGTCCCATACACGAATATTCATGTAAGCTGTTTCACTGATATTGATTTGAGGAATAAATATTTATCAGGACACCAGGCCAAACTCCCCAACTCTTATTCTCAGTAATTTTATTTGATCTTTTACATCTACTGAAGAGTGCAAATGGGACATCAGTTTGAATCTGAATAATGGCAGTTTTGACAGTGCAGCTTTCCCTTCGTTGTACTGCAGTGTGATTTTTGGAGTGAGACTTTAATTCACTGCCTTTTGACTTGGAGATGAGTGTATTAGCATTTTTCCTTCACCAAAGCAAAAGCTGTTGTTGCACTTTCAAGTTGCTTGAAATGAACTATGTTGACTAGTAATCCAAACTGCCGTCTTATAAAGGGAACAAATGGGAATTAGCTTGTGCAACGTTATTAGTACTGCCATTCATCTGGCTTAGAGCTATTACTTTTTGCACCAGTTTGCTTTAACTAAATTAATTTAACTAATAATTAAACTACTTAAACTAAGTACATTACAAGTTATGGAGTTATAGAGTAATACAGCATGAAAACAGACCCTTCGATCCAACTTGTCCATGCCCACCAGACGTCCCAATCTGCCTAGTCCCATTTGCCAGAATTTGGCCCATATCTCTCTTAAACCCTTCCTTTTCATATACCCATCCTGATGCCTTTTTAAATGTTGTAATTGTACCTGCCTCCACCACTTCCTATGAACAAGCTGCTAAAAGCACACCACTGTCTGTGAAAAAATTAACCCTCAGGCTCTTTTTTTAAATCTTTAAGAAAGATTTAACTTAAACCTATACCCTCCAGTTTTGGACTGTCCCACCCTAGGAAAAAGACCTTGGCTTTTCACCCTATCCATGTCCCTCGTGATTTTATAAACCCTCTATTAGGTCACCCCTCAGCCTCTGATGCTCCAGGGAAGAAAGCCCCAGCCTATTCAGCCTCTCCCTATAACTCAAACTCTCCAATCCTGGCAACATCATTGTAAATCTTTTCTGCACCCTCTGAAGTTTGACAACATCTTTCTTAGGAAGGGCAGCTCGAATTGGATGCAGTATTCTAAAAGTGGCCTCACCAACATCCTGTACAGCTGCAACATGACATCCCAACTCCTATACTCAATGTACTGACCAAGTTGTGAAATTGAATTCAATAAAACTCAATTCATTGGTTGACATCAGGAAAAGATGAATGGGAAACTGCCAGATTGTGGCAAAAAGCCAACTAATTTACTAACATCTTCCACAAAAACATACTTATTCAGTCTGCCTACATAGGTCACCTCTGTCATGGGACTTGTTTGACTACAGTTCATGACTTGATTATTCTGGAAAATAACCACATTTTTGTCAAGGTTTTTTTTTTCTTGCCAACTACTGTCTCCACATGCAGTATTTTATATTTTATTCACGAATGGTATATTGGTATTCTTGTGAATGACATGATGACTGAGTACATAATGAAAACCTTTAACAAAATGTCTTATTTTCAGCAACACTTATTTGACTCTAATGCATTATAGAAAGCTACTCAGTTTTAAAACCTTGATTTAAGGTGCACCATCCCCTCAATGCTATAAGTGATGGTCACTAAAAGCATATTTGGCAGCATCCAGTTTATCCCAAAAGAAATTTTTATTTTGAACTGTGTTATAACTTGGGGTTTTGTTTTTTTTTGTTTAGGCATGACAGGGTTGAAGATGATGGTGGAAGAGACTACCGAGATAAAGAAGATCGGGAACGTGAGAGAAGGCTAAAGGAGAAAGAGCGTCAGAAACGGCAGGATGAAGAACGGTGGAAGCCAAGGGAGCGATGTGAGGCAGACAAACCTTTCAGAAAGAAAGATGAAGAGATTAAGAAGGAAAAGGATCAAACAAATGAGAAGACCAGGAAGAAGGAAAGCTCAGAAGCTGCATCAAGTTATGACCGGTTGGAGAAAGGAAAAGAGGAGAAGAAGGAGGATGGTACAGCAAAGAAGGAACGAATCCGAAATAAGGTACAAGAACGTTTCATCGAGTCTTATAATAGAACAAAGGGTATTATGTATCAACACTACCTTCTGCTGCTCTTAAAAACATGCTTGCAAGTGTAATAAAATACTCAGCCACCACCTCTCTTGGTAGTGCAGCTCAATCTATTAGAGCCATTTCATCACATCGTAACACAAATTTTGTTTATTTGCTTATAGGTATTCTCTTCATTGTTGTACATAGCAATCATAGAAATAAAATTTAGCAAATAAATGGACTTAAATTAATTAAAATTGCTAAGTAATTACATGAAAACCTGCTCCTAACAATGTGGTAAAAGTAAATCTTCAATACAATCTCAGCAGCTTGACTGTATATGCATTCCTGTTAAAATATTTGAGTAATTTGTCAGTTTTAATAATGCTAAGTTTTTATCAGAGTCCTTAGTATTGGAACCAAGCAGTGTGATATGGATTTTATTTAGTTAAAAATTAAGAAATGCCTTCAAATATATGTCATTAAGCCTCTGAATCTATCCAGCATAGTTGTTCCGTTTTCAACTATTGAAGATTGACGTTTTGACAGCATTACTCTGAAACGAACATACAAATTGTGCATTTTGTTCTTAGAATTGTATTGCATTATCTCTGATGTCTTTGTTAAAGAAAATGCATTTTTTCATATGGAAATGTGATAACATCTAATCCACCTTTCAGAAGTGTGTTTTGAGTTATTGGATATCGCGTTATTGAGTTTGAGGGTTTTGAGTTAATTTTTTTTAATGTTTTACAGGACCGTCCAACTATGCAGCTGTACCAGCCAGGAGCACGGAGTCGTAGCCGGTTAATGACCTGTGCAAAGTCTAATGACAGCAGCATAAAGCCACCAGAAGCAAGTGAGGAGAAAAAGGAGGAATTTGAGGCTTCCAGGAATTTTGCAGAAAAGGAAAGTGAAGAATGAAAAGGCTGCTGCTAGTTCAAGGGTTGAGCAGTCACAGCACACTAACCAAGTGCGGGGAAGTCCAAAAGTGTGCTTATTGGAGAGGAGTTCAGAGAACAAGGCTGGTGTGGATTTCTTGTCAGATAAAATGTTTGAAACTGGTAATTTCCCTATTTTAAGAATGGAGGTCTTGTTTTGCCATCATGATTGTGACCAGGCACTAAAGTGCAAGAGCATTGATTGCGGTTGGAGGTTAACTGGGATGTAAATTAGACATTGCGCTTGCTAGGCAGGTGCTAATGACTCTGAAAATATACTAGTCAACAGCTTTTGATATGATATTAATGACACACCCCATCATTTGCTTCAGCAGGCAGATGGCAAGTAAAGGAAATGCTCTGTCAGCTACAGCAGAATTATACCAACAAATGCTAGTAACATACCTAGGTCCTAAGTTAAAACATAAGTTTGGTGCACCATTTACTGATTATAGCATGGGAGACCAAATTCTTAGTGGCCTTATCGACCTTTTCATTTGCAGAATGAATGAAAAGACCTGGGGTGGGGTGTGGAGGCAATAGGCAAAAGTAGCATTTTTTTTTCACACTTGTCATACGTGCTGCATCCTAGGGTTAGACTTGTCCAAGTTTCAGTCGCAATTTGTATTGAAAGGACTATGTTGAGGTGATGTAATTCTTAGTTCCATTCTGCTACCTTTTAGAAATTTAGTTACTAAGTTAGTGATATCTGTGAAAAGCATGGAAGATTCTAACTTTATACATTTCCTGTGCCAATCCAGTTTTTTTTAAAATTGTATCCCGTCATCCAGCTATGTATACTGTACGTATAAGAACTAACTGGAAAATAGTTGGAAGTTATTCGTGCATCATCAAAAATTTGCTTTTGATGTACCTCTGTTTCATTCATGGCACTACTCATTACCTTTGGCAATCTGGCAGTATCATTGCCTGGCCATCCAGCAGAGGGTGCTGATAACACACAAACCTGGCGTTTTTAATTATAGCTGTTTAACCTTGTGGAAACCTGTTTGGATGGATAGGCGTGTGCACTTTTTATTAAACAAAGGTACTGAAATGGTCCAATTCTGCAGTAGAAAATTCATTTGAGAGTGGGTTGGGGTGCAGTGATTTTCTTGGGAAAAGGGAGAAAGGAAATCTGTTCAGTAGCCAGTTTTATTTTGAAGATTCTGCTTGTGAATAGTTAACTAGTTCTGGATCATGTATGGTTAAAATGAGCAGGCACGTATTGAGCCTATTTCTTGATTCCTGGTTTGTTACATTGCTGGATTTTTTTTTAAAGACATTTGCTGGACATTGCACAAGAACTTATAATAATCAAAAAGAAACTAAACTCAAAAACAGTTGGTTTTAGTTTTCGCACAACATCGGAAAGATTAATAAGTTGGTGGTACATTCCAATTGTACAGTTGCTGAAACAATTCTTTCAGAGCTCTGCTTTTGCTTTATTTTTATGTTTTAAACAGCATTGAACACCTACAATCAATAAATACCAATAGCAAAATGTGTGCAGTTCTGTTTTATCCAGAAGTTGACTTTTGACATTATCCTTTATTAACAGAGCGTATTTCTAGATATCAGAACCTTACAGCTTTAAAAAGGCCTTTCAGTTCATTGGGCTTATGCAAAAGTTAAAAGAAGTGTCTTTTTCTAGGTAAATCTTCAAGTACAGACCCAATTGCTTTTTAAAATCCCTGTGGAATCTAAATCCATAATCCAGATCTTAACAATTTTCTTGGGAGGAGTGGGGAGAGAGAAGAATTAGGGAGACTCCCAACCCCACCCCAAAGTTTTGGTCAGTGTGTAAATCTATGGATTTTTGAGGTACCATCATTTTGCCAGAGGAAATGGCTTCTCTGTATCTGCTGTCAAAAACACTTTGTAAGCCAAATGTGTTATCATCTGTGATAGATATTTACAATCTGACTGAACCTAATAGCAATTTGGCTCTCAAAGGTGATGGCTATGAAGCCAACATCAATTTCTTCTTTAACGACAAAAAGACCACCTCTCCACACCATTTGCTCCAAGGAAAGAACACCATTAAACTCTTTCTCGTGTGCTCGTGCTCTCCCCTCCCCATACGTGTACTCCCAGGAACCCAGATTGAACTGAAAGGTCCAGTATCCATCTCTGTAGTGTTTCTTTGTCTAAAACCCATTATTGAACTCCCAAACTCTACTGGCTGAGGTTGCAAGTGCGGAAACTCCTGCTGCACTTCTGCACAAAGTAAAGCTAAGTGCAAGATCTCCGCTAAACCTGCCCCTTTGCAAGCAAAATAAGTTTACCTATTAAAAGCTAACCTTTCTGTAGGTAAGGTCACTGCTCAAACTGAGAGAAGAGCAGTGCTAGTTCTACCTGGTGGAATTTGAACAGTGCCTTTAATAGGCTCGGGAACAATGTGAAGGATTACTTCACTCTAGTTTGTTAACCAGAATGTAAATAGGAATCTCCATTGGAGATGTGCACAGGAAAGATAAAGGAAACCTATATTGCAGGGGTCGACAATATGTTGATTGCAAAGAGCTTACTTTCTGTCAATGATTAGCTTGCATTAAAGTTGGAAAATAACCAATAGATTACAGAATTAGTCATATTAATTTCCTGCCACATAACAGTTAACTAGTTTTTCAAAACTGGTGGGCAGTAAGAGAGATAGCCAGGCAGGAAGAAGAAGCCAAATAGTGAAGGAAGAGTGGAATCACTGCTGACACCAACAGCTGGAGAGGCTGCCAGGGGAAGCCGAGTCCAGAGAGTCTGAAGGTGTTTCTGAGTGACCCAGAGAGCAGGCACTGAGCTATCCAGTGGACAGGAGGCCAGTTTCCTATCATTTTAAATTTCATATTTTTGTAATTCAACTGCAATACCCTTTTCAATTTATATTTTTTCCATGTGTTCGTAAGCTGTAATATTTTTCACCAATAACAAGTACTTCTCTTTTGAGAATGGTTGGTCACCTCTGCTGTATTAGTTAGAAGGAAAGTATAAATGTAAAGGCATGTACCGTGAGGAATGTGTAAGACATTGTGGTAGATCTGGAAAGGGAAGCGTTCCCACGGGCAGACAACAGGAAGTAAATTAACCATTTCTCTGCTTAACTGCAGCACAGCTGCTGCAGCCTACTGTGGCTTTCCCCTTTTATCTATGGGTTTGTTGTTGCTCACGAACAAATACCGCCTTAAGTGTCTACCATTAGTGATGTCAAAATTCACCTCTTTGAATGTATCAATCTGACAGGAATTAAAGTCAAGTGACTTATTTTAAGATTGCCAAGAGAATGTCAGCATGAGCTTTAAAACCTTTGGTAAATGCTTCAATGTCACTTCCTGACATCAATTATAAAATAACTGGAGCCAAGAACAATTAAACAGAGAACTCCTTAATGGTGTCTGCAATCCCAATTGGTCTAATCTTTTGTTCTCATTAGTATGCGATACTCACCATTGCTTGTGCAAATACTACTTGAGGACAAGATTTAATCTAATCATTAATTAACTTTTCCTTCATTAGATAATACAATACAGAATCTAGACAGGTCCAGGCAGGTCCAGTCTGTCGACTGCCTGCCCCTCTTCTGCGGTTACGTTTTGAGTCCGGGTATCATTGGTGAGGGAGCATGTGGTGTCCACCAATGTTCCCTGCCTTTAGTAAGAGGTGGGCACAGCGGGGGATGGAGTGCTTTATTTTGCCCCTCCAACTCTCTTGATTTGGTCCCTTCCTTCTCTCCCTTCACTCCCCACTTCACTTTTTTTCAAGTAAGCATTACCCTTTTAGGGCTTTACTTATTAATGTTTCAGTAGCCTCATGCGTGCTTTCCTGGTGGAGCGAAAATATAAAGTTTTACCACAAAACAAATATAGTAATTTAAGCTGTGGAACCAGCAAACTGCTGGTGTCTGTAGGACTTTTTCCCCATGTACTTTACTACTAATAGAAGAGAGGAAGGGGTACAAGGAAGATGTATTGGAACATGTTTTAATACATTTGTGTTAGACATGAGTTGAGTTTGTGGTGTACTACAATGGCTTCTGATCCACTGATACCTTTTGTTTTTAAATCCTCATCTCACCCACACTCCCTCACCCAATCTCCATTTCTGTCACATCTTTCATCCCTACAATTCTTTCGATAACTGCATTCCTATATCTTTGGCCTTTTGTGCATTTGTGTCCTTTTGTCCCATCTCTTGTGGCTTTTCCTGCAAGTGTCTTGGTTCTAAGTTCGTGTGAAGTACCTTGAAACATGTTACTCTATAAATATGCTAAGTTATTTTGGGAAGTGGACTGAGCCAAGGGTGGTAACCTAGAAAACACGAGTGGAAAAGCCTGGAACTGAAAGAGATTCACCTTTTATTTAAATATTTTAAAAGGTGGTTTCTTTAGAATGTGACTATCTGAGGGTCTATAACTCTCAAATCTGCGTCCAAATCCTTTCCGTTTTCTTAAATCACACCAATGCTATCATACTTTTTTTTTTGGCTGTGGACCCTAAACTCTGCAATTCCTTGCTCGAGACCCTTTCCTCCTTTCAAGATGATCCTTAATGTCTTTTACCAAGTTTTTTTAAATTTGCCTGACCTCATACGTAGCCTTGTATTGTGTTGTTTGATTACTCCTGTGAAGTGCCTTTGGGATGTCATCATACTGGTGACTAACAGACTGAAAGGTTATGTAGAAACCCTGTTCTTGTATCTTTTCATTCTTTACTTTGGCTTTTCGTTTGGATAGCTAGCCCACATTTACTCTGGTGGAGAGCAATTGATTTTTGGGCTCCCTGAAAATGCTTCACTATAACGAATCTTTTGTTTAACACTTGCTGATTTTGTTTGCTACCTATGGCTGTTCCTGCATGGTGTTCTCCACTTTAAATGCCACTAGGTTTTTTGTAATTTAAATTTGTATGCAATTTCTACTTCAATTTTTAACCATTCCAGACTTGTACATGGACTGGTGCCATGAATAATTATTTAAAGAAGCATAGACAAAGACTTTAATCAATATTTCCACAAAGCCTATCTGGCCAAAGTTGCTCTAATTCTTGAAGCATTTAAAAGTGACAGACCCAAAGGTGACAACATCTCCCGTTGTTTCTGGAGAAGGGTCCCGACCTGAAACGTCAGCTTTCCTGCTCCTCTGATGCTGCCTGGCCTGCTGTGTACCTCCAGCTCCACACTTTTATCCCATTGTTAATGCCGTTTTGATTTTTGCCAATTGATTTGCTTTGCAACAGCCTGCCTTTGATGTACCTCCAATTGTTATCTCACTTTAGCTGCATTCTTTTGGGCTGATTCAATGATACAGTGTGTGCTGGAAGCAAACCTCACTCCCACTGTTCAGTTGGACTGAGTGCAGGAATTGCAAAGTTCCAAAATCAGTAAAGGGGTAACATTTTTAAGTTTTTGGAAACTTCACAAAAAGCATAAATCCTAATGGAACGCAGCCTCGTGCAAATTGATCCTATGCCAAATTCTGAAATCAGTTCCACCTGCTTATTCCTTCAGTGCTACTTGCCAATAAAAACCAGGTGCTCTGCCCTTGTTTCATGTTTCATGTGTGTACTTGTTGCACAAGGTTACAGTTATTTGAAGGGGTTGTTCCTCAACTTCTGGTTGCAATTCAACCCCGTGTTCCTGACCTTTGGCCACTCCTGTCTTGTTGGGGAGAAGGGGTGGTGGGAGCATATCTTCATAGCCATTAACAGGTCAAGTGGAATGAACCAGGCAAGGATCATTAGATTGACTGTCTGCCTCTCTTCTATGGTCAGGTCCACACCCGAGTGGTGTCTACTGTATACGTGGAGCCCTCTGTCTGATGGGCAGGAGCTGGGGAGTGCAGCATCACTTCCTGAAATAAGATTTTGATTTAAATTTGTTTCCTTACAAATTCAGTTTTTATTACAGTGTCCTGTTAAGGACTTATTCAGTTATTCAATCACTTGAATATAAACAAGTCACTGCTGGGATTTTGTTTTAGTCTTTGGAAGTTTAAATTTGAAGCATATGACTTTTCACCATTTTTAATGATTGATTTATTCAGCATTTTTGGATAGCTAGTTCCTGCATTAGTTACTGCTGTTGGACAGCTGTTTTATTGCATGACTAGAATGTTGTTGTGCAATCCTCTCAATCTTTGCAGCTGGGATTTCAGTATAGCAAGCTAATTTTCAGCATTGTAAAAGTTTCTGACATTCTGGTGGTAATTCTAGATTTGAAGGGGAGGGCGGTGGTGGGAAAGGAAACAAGCAAACCAGATGTGATTGTGACAAATCTCAAATAATAATTCTTTTTGTCAGAACTAAGGAAAGGTTATGCCACAGAAAGAGGCCATTCAGCCCCTGGTGTCTGCACTACTGTTTTGTAGTTGTTTTTGTGTACTCTTGATATAGATGACCTTCCATAGCAAAGTCAGCTTTTATTGATCCTTAGTTGACTTTAAAAAGATGGTGGTGAACCTCTGAATTTGACTGCTAGGGTTGAAGTGAAGGTACTCCCACAGTACTGTTAAGGAGTATGTACTTCTGATTTTGGCGGTGTGGCAGCAAAGTCCCTTAGGACTCAGCTTGCTTAATCAGTAGTACTGCTGCCAAAACTTCAAAGAATTACGTATCTGAACCCCTAGGTCCCTCTGTTCTACAACACTACCCAAGGCCCTACCATTAATTGTACAAGTGTTTGTTGTACAAAAATGCAATACCTCACTGTTTTTCAGCTCATTGACCCATTTAATCAAGATCCCTTTGTCATCTTAGAAAACTTTCTTCCCTGTCTTCTATGCCATCAACTTTGGTGTTGTCTGCAAACTTACTAATCATGCCTTCTGCATTCTCATCCAAATCATTACATCAGGTACCTCACCTGTAGTTATAGAATGTTGCAAATATTGCTGAAAGAGGTCTCACAATTTCCTCCCTTATTTCCCACAGTATTCTGGGATACCTTAGGTCAGGTCCCAGAGATTTATTCACTTTTATATTCTGCAAGACCTCCAGAACTTCCTCTTCTGTAATGTGAACTGTTTTTTTGAAACATCAAAATTTATTTCTTTGCATTCTCTAGCCTCCATTTCTTTCTTCACAGTAAAAACGGACACAATATTCATTCTGAAGCATTCACAACAAACTTCAACCAGATCTGTTAAGTAATGATCTGTTTATGCCTCCAGCAGTCCCTAGCATCACAGATGCCGGTTAGCCAATTTGATTCGCTCCACGTGTTAGAGAAATGATTGAAGGCACTGGATATTGCAAAGGGTATGAGCCCTGACAACATTCTGAAAAAAGCACCAAAGAATTGTTCTCTGGAAACTGCCACACCCCTACCCAAGCTGTTCCAGGACAGCTACAATACTGGTATCTACCTGACAAAGTGGAAAACTACCCAGGTATATCCTGTACACAAAAAAAGCTTGTTCTGATGCCATGATATTTGATGTATTTTCCCCAATTAGTGCCAGATTTCAGCAGCCTAAATGTTCTATTGCAATTTGATTTACTTACTAGCATTGGGGTTGGAATATATTTTAGATCTGAGTTGCTTTGGTTAAAATTAAGGATGACTCACTCTGGGAAGTTCCAAAATTACAAAGTGTACAGAAAATGTACTTAATTGGCTGTACATGCTCTTTAGGTACCATATCAATGCAGTTTTTTTAAAGCCCTAGAGAAGTGATACTACAGTAGACCTACACCATCTTTTCATTGTCAGAGTCGATATGAATGAGAATTAACAATTTACAGTTCAACCTTTGAATATTTCCTCCACACTGCACTTACCAGAGTCCATCTTGTAAATGCAATGCTCCAGCGCAGAGCTTTGCATTGTCAGCTCCAAACATAGATCAGGAATTGGGGAACTGATTAATTGGGCATTCATAAAAATGCATGCTGCTGCTCAGTTTTTAAAATTCTATCCTGTCCTGTTATCACTGATTTAATTTGAATTGAAAGTGTACTTATTATTATTAAAATAATAGACAAGAAGTAATAGCAGTCAGAGTATACACACTGGCACAAATTCATTAATCATCCCTCTGCTGATGTCATATACAATAATTTCTAAATAGCTTTGAATCCAGTACTAGGAAATAATTTGAAATGAACATTCCTAGACTTACAGATTCACTATCTGTTTCTTTTCCTCTAACCCCACAACCTTCCAAGATAGCTGCCTTCCTCCAATTCTGGCCTGCTAGGTGTCTTTGATTTTAATTGCTATGTCATTTGATAACTGTTCCTTCAGCTGCTTTAGCCCCAAGGCCTTAGAATTCTTTCCCTGAACCTCTCTATTACCCCCATTGTGCCCCCAACATCTTTACAACACTCCTTTTAAAAAAAAAAAAACCTCTCCTCTTCAAGCAAGCTTTAGGCACTTGCCATAAAATCACCAGCTGTAGTACTGTGCCTGTCTTGCAATGTTCAGGTGAAGTACCATGGCAATTTCATGACCATATACAATAGTGTTATTTTTCTGGTGTCCAGTTTGATATTAGAAGTAACAGTTCTCAGTTCATACTGTCATTCTTGATATTGCTGTATGTAATCTAATAAACATTACAAACAATATACATTCATAAGTAGTATTCTAGTTTCACCTCAATTTTTTTTATACAGTTTTAATATCCTATTAATAGAACTTCTCATTTTCGATCACAGATTTTTGTCTTAAAATTATGCCCTTTTTGTTACATTGCTGTGGTAACAACCATAGCAATGTAACAAAAAGGGCATAAGCTACATCATTATTATCAATGCTGTCTTCGTTGTGGTCCTTAAACCAGTTTCAGATTTTCCTAAAAATCAAACACAACCACTGATTAATTCCCTATTCCTCAAGACTAGACAGTACTACATTGAAGTGAAAGCATGAATTTCAGATATTTATAGGATGTTAAGTATTTCAGTTTGTGCATTTAAAAACTACCTGTTCAGAGAGGGAAAAGTATCCCTTACAATTGTTATTTCATATGGCTAATTTACTATTTTAGGAATGTAATGCAACTCTTACTGTATAGTAAGAACTAATAACTGGTGATCTGGAAAATATCTCCCTCTCATACTAATTAAATATTATTATACATCCTTAAATCACTTTGCTGATGACCATGTGACCCATTCTCTGGACTGATACCAGTTTCTTTCCTGCCAACCCCTGTCACCCTCTCGCCATTCATCCTTTTTTTCTCCCCCCTCTATGTACGGCGGATACATTCCATATCTCAGTTATGCACTCAAGTCTAAGTTTTATGTATTGATGAATTTACACTCTTGGAATGGATAAAACCAGCAATCGAAACACTTGTCCAAGACAATTTTGAAAACTGAAGACTGTTACAATAAGAGGAGGCATTGCAGCTTATTTAGAAATAAATCTTTCAATTTCTCAATTTACTTTTGCCCCTTTAAATGTCTTTTTAAAAGCAAAACATATTTAACTGAAATCATTCTATTTCAGATTTATAATAGATGTGGAATTGAAGCTATTCCACCTGGACAAAATGTTTAATTATGTTGTAGTCAAATTGGTAACTGAGTCAGGTCAGTTAAACAACATAGCAATGAATCAATAAGTTGAAACTGCTTCATGTCTTTCCAAAATGTTAAACTGTGAGAAAGTTAGGTTGCCAAAATTGAACTTAGATAAGCAAAAGTCTTAAATGTTAATAGAGAATCAAATCGACAGTACTGTCAGTTCCAACCTATAAAATTTTAAGCTTATATTTGTCTTAGAGGAATGAGGAGGACCTGCATTTACAACAACAAATGCAGAAACCCAACTGTCACAGCCCAAGTGATTCAACATCAATGGCATAGTACGGGTGGAAAATTTTAGAAGTACAGTCTGGGACAGTAGTCCTGAAGCAGTTGCACCCCTATCATGTATTGACAGCACAGATTTGATGTTTGTTAACAATTTCCTGTTGCACTCATGCTAAAATTTGCAGCATAAATTCAAAGTCAGCTTGCAATTTGGATTTGGATTGTGTAAATTTGACGTTACAACCACCAAATGTAAATCTAGTTCACCCTCTGTCACCTGGTTTATAATATTCCCCCTGCTCCCTTATAACCGCTCAACCACAATTTAAGTCTTCAGAAAATGATTCCTCCACCTCCCCCCCACCAAAAAATTGACTGAACAGATGGAAAGGTGTTCCGCATATTGAGAGAGAGATATGCATTTGCTGGCAAACATTTGAAGAACGTTGGCATTCCAGTTAGAGGAGCTAAGCTATACAAAACTACTGTATTATTGGAACTTGAAATACAACTATCAGTTCGTTTCAGTAAATTTGCCCTACATTGTTACTCTAACTATTCAAGTACAAATAATTACTGTTATATTATGAATGCTAACAGTGGCAAAATCAACGATGTAAGGCAATCTGGATTTTCTCATAGCAAAGTACTCATTTAAAGAAAAACTTAGAATACACTGTACAAATTGCCAGATTAGAGTAAGAAACACTGGACAATTTGCATTCTGCTTCAGATGTCTGGTTAAATGTTGAGGTACAGGATCATAGAATCCATACAATATAGAGGCCATTCAGCCCATTGAATGTGCACTGACTCTCCGAAGTGCATCCCTCCTCCATCCCCATAACCCATTTCCCATGGCCAATCCACCTAACCTATTCATCCCTGGATACTATGGGCCATTTAACATAGCCAATCCACCCTACTCGCACATTTTTGGACTCCAGGAGCGAACCAGAGCATGTGGCAGAAACCCATGCAGACACAGGGAGAATGTGCAAACTCCACACAGATGGTCATCCAAGGCTGGAATTGAACCTGCGTCCCTGGCCCCTGACTGATCACTTTTTTCCTCCCGCCTCACTAAAGCTACTTGTGAAGAACACAATGAGCCAAATTTACAAATATACATGTTCTGAATATACAGCGAAAACATATTCTAACAATACATTGTGGATCCTTCAGTATGTTAAAAGGAGCAAGTTATCTTCTCAGGCATTGACCACATCAGGACTAAAACCAAAATTAAGCTACTAAACAGGGTTAACAAAAAGAAAGAACAAGTAGATTATTAATCACTTGAACAAAAAAAAAAATCAATAGAAGAGAGACAATATAAAAGAATATTATGGTAATTTAGTGAAAAGGCAAAAAACAACTTGTAGCCAACTAAGATGGTGACAATACATGGGAAAGATGCAAACAAGGAGAAATATAAAAGTGGGAGTATAGGAAAGAGGGTGGAAATCCAAATTAGAAATACAACATTTGGAATTGGAAACTTACCCTCCGCTTGTTAAAAAGAAAAGCGGACTCAGATGCATACACCTTTTTACAGATTTCCATTTTAGGGAAAGGACCACAACTAACAGATGAAACTATCTTTCCTCCTCCTCAGACACTGGAATATGATACAACTTATTCTTAGGAAAATGGAGGTGCTGTTTATGGTCTGAAGTGTATGAAGGCAAAAGTCACAGTAAAAAGCTGTGGGATATGCAGAGGTCATACAGACATTTAAATGTAGTTCACGTTTGATTTGCATCCAGACACTACAGTTTTCACATTAGATGTTGAAAACAAGTAACAATCTGCACTGAAAAGTTAAATTGTAAGCATTAGTTGAAGTAAATTCAAGTTTTTTTACTCGAAAAAAAATCACAATGTCTTGTATTTTTAGATCTCAGTACCTGGATACTTTTATTGCCTATTATTAATGCTGATTTTTATACCAAAAATCAATTCACAGAAGCAACATGAACTGACCCAGACAGTATTTGCACACTAATAACCGGTCTCAAGGTTAAGAATATAAATTTAAATCTTCACATCACCTGAACGTTAAACAAATCATGTATTGACAATTGTACTGACAATGCATGTTTATAGTACACTGGTTAGTGCAGGATCGTCTTCTGATCTGATCCATCAAATCTGCTTCTGATGTCACAACATACCGACCAAAAATACAAATATTATTAAAGAGAGTTCGTTCTCATGATTTCCTCTAAAACTACATCAAGAATTAGTACCATAAATATGGAGTGTTACATTTCGACAGGATAAGTGAGAGTTTGAAATGAACGTTTTGCCTTAGTTTGTCAAAACACCTTCGGGCTTTTTCTCGTCAATACATTCATACATGCACTGAAGTAAATAAAAAAATCCTACGAAGGAACTTGATTACAGTTATAAAATGAAAACGTACCGAACATTAGAGGACATATTATGAAATTGTTCTTAAACTCGAAGACTATATGTACTTTTAAAAAACAATGAAAATAGAAAGTGCTGGAAAGCTTAACGGGTCAGGTAGCAACGGCTGAGAAAGAAAGAGACAGACAACGTTTGGAGTCCAATATGGCTCCAATATTGGAATTATAGTCATATTGGATTCTGTGACACCAGTTCCTTAGAGCTATATTGGACTCCAAACGTTAACTCGCTCTCCTCTACAGGCGCTGCCAGACCTGCTGAATTTCTCTAGCAGTTTTCAGTGTCCTTTTTGTTTTAAAATTCCGATTTCCAGCATCCGCAGTATTTCGCCTTTATTCTTGGAAAGCGACCAAGACCAGTTGATCACACAGTGGAAAAGAAACAAAAACAGTTGAAGTTTTGAGTCCAACGGCCCTTCAGAAGATATTGTCTGCGAGTCAATGTAGTATTGATGGAAGGGGGTTCCAAGTTTCAATACCCACCCCCACAGGCTGATTCTACCTGGAGTCAGCGCTTTCTGGCTTCTGTCGCTGCCAAGAAGATAGTTTCAGGATTCGGTATATGGAGGGGATCAGGGAGAGTTCGCGATTCTTGGTTGGACTGTCCAGCTGTTTGTGCGGTGCCGGGACTTGATGGAGAGGTTGCGGCTCCGGTTCCTCCTGAGCTCCGGCCAGCTGCCGGAGTTGCGCGGGGGTATCGCTGGCCAGGTATTGCCAGGCTTTGCGGCCGCGGTAGTCGCGGATGTCGACGTCGGCGTTGTAGGCGCCGACCAGCAGCTTGATGACCATGGAGTGGCCCTGCATCGCGGCCAGGTGCAGGGGGGTGTAGCCGCCGCCGGCCGCCCGCGCGTTCAGGTCGATCTGCCAGCCTCGGCTGTCGGCCAGGCACACCAGCTTCATCAGGCCGTGGTGGTCGCCTTGCTTGGCCAGCCAGTGGGCGGCGGTCAGGCCGCTGACGAACTCCCTGCGGTTCAGCAAGCCGGGCTCCTGGAGCAGCAGCGCCTCCATCGCTTCGCAGTCGCCGGCCGCCAGCGCCAACATCCACTCGTGTTCCCGGGGCTCCAGCGCTCCGCCTGATAGGGAGGCCCCCTCCTCCTCATCCTCCTCCTCCTCCCTCCCGCCGCTATGGGCGCTCCATATGCCGCTGAAGCCATCCCAGCCATTGCGGAGCATCAGTTCCCTCAGGCACTTCTTCCTG